GGAAGTAATGAATTTAATTCGGAAATTAAGGTCTAAGGAAAAGACCAGAGAGGAGCAGAGACCAAGTTGTCAATTTGTATTTCCATGACGTTGTTTTTCCTAGACTTTGATTTTTTTCCCCCCTCATTTATTTCTTTCCAGACCTTTCTCTAATCAGGTTTATAACCACCGAGCTAACAAGAGGCTACTTTCTTGAACATAACGAGGCCAAATACACAGAGCGTAGAGAGAGGGTGTACACCTGCCTCCGCATACCCAAGGAGCTGGAGAAGGTAAACATATATGGACCAAAGAAATTAATCCCTCTCACCAGAAATGAACACACTTGTTTACATTTCCTTTCTTTGTCCCTTTCTGTAGCTGATGACTTTCGGCTTCTTCCTCTGTCTGGATACGTTTCTCTACGTGTTCACCCTGCTGCCCCTGCGGGTGATTCTGGCCCTTTTACGACTCATAACTGTGCCGTGCTGCGGCCTCGGGTCAGTAAATAAGAAGTAATAAATCAGGAACTAAATTGAGACCACCTTTATTTTATTTCATTTTTTTATCCAAACAAACTGATAGTAAAATATGCTGTATTTGGAAATATGTCATTATTGTTAATTATCCATAACTTTTCAAAATGTTCCCCATATTATCCTTTTATTGCAATACACCTGATAGTCTTCTATTTTGGTTTAATGCAGTGTGGCTAATGCATATATTGGAAAAAAAATAATACATGCCTTTAATCCAACACCATGTTTTTTCATGGGGTTCAAAGTTTTCCTTTTTTGAGCTCATAAAATCCGAGTAAATACTTTCACTTGTGTTATTATAATATGAGCTTATGTTAACATCAGTATATTGGGAGCACACTAAAGTATTTAATTGTCAGTATAGATCACCAATAATCAATTAGTTGATTTTTTCCCCACATCTCATCTGAATTTTAATGACTATTTTACGTATCTGCTTTGGGAATGAATCCTAACCCAACAATGTGTTAACCACCAGAGGGCAGTAGAGCTGTATGTCTGAGCTCATTATAAGTCAGAGAAACAGCTCTGTCATATTGTTGACCTGACTTTTTTTTTTTTTTTTTAATCACTTAAAGTTTTGTGCTCTATAATTGTTTGGGGTTTCAGTGGCTCCCGCTTGCTCCAGCCGGCCCAAGTGTGTGATGTCCTGAAGGGCTTCATCATGGTGCTGTGTTATTCAATGATGAGCTACGTAGATTATGCCATGATGTACCACCTCATACGGGGGCAATCTGTCATCAAACTCTACATCATCTACAATATGTTAGAGGTACAGTCACAAGTTTAAGCTTTTTAGCAGCTTGTTATTTTTGTTATTTTTGTTTTTTTTTCTTAACTGTTTTTGTTGTCAACCATTCAGTCGATCACTGTCTTTCCTCCAGGTTGCAGATCGCCTTTTCTCTTCTTTTGGCCAAGACATCCTGGATGCCCTGTACTGGACAGCAACTGAGCCAAAGGAGAAGAAGAGAGCGCCTATAGGAGTTATTCCTCACTTCTTAATGGCTGTGCTCTACGTCTGTATCCTCACCCCCAGTCCAAAATTCAGAGACGGAAGCTGGCATAATGACTATATTCTCCATACACCTTTCTATCTATATTATTATTAATGTTATTTTGGATGAGTTCATCTAAACCATGAACACAAGCAAAATTTTGTTTGTTTTTTTGTTGTTGTTTTTTTTTTTTTTTTTACATCCTTTTTTTTTTTTTTATTAAGTTTGCATCTAAAAGAGTTAAGAAATATACAGTAGCCCTTTATTGTTGGATGTTTCACCTGCATGTTTAAATTAAGTTTTTCTTATCTTAGAAAAATCATGCTAGTAATTTCTGATTTTCCATCCATCCATCCATCCATCCATCCATCCATCCATCCATCCATCCATCCATCCATCCATCCATCCATCCATCCATCCATCCATCCATTTGTTGGCTACTGCTAGTGGACGTTTAGGATAATTTAGCTTGTTTTACCCAAAATGTGTTTTTCCTCAGCTTTTCTTTACCCAGTCCTTCATGCCCTTCTTATCATGGTTCAGGCTACAACACTAAACGTTGCATTCAACTCCCATAACAAGTCTCTGCTCACCATAATGATGTCAAACAATGTGAGAGAATTTAATTAACATTTGTTTTTGTTGTTTTTTTACTCTTTAAAAACTTGCTGCAGCAAGCAAATTGAATCTCTAAACCGCTGTGTTTTGCAGTTTGTTGAAATCAAAGGAAGTGTGTTTAAGAAGTTTGAAAAGAACAACCTCTTCCAGATGTCTAACAGCGGTAAGTCGGAAGTGATGGAAGCCTCTGCACTAAAATCACAGATTTGGGGATATTTTTATCCTTCCCTCTTTAACCTGATTTAATCCAAGGTAAATTTCTGGGATCGAGCTCAGCTGCAGTAGGCAAAAAGTAGGTTAATCCAGGATTGATTTGTTTGTTTCCCACAGACATAAAGGAGAGGTTCACCAACTATATCCTTCTGCTCATCGTGTGTCTGAGAAACATGGAGCAGTTTTCATGGAATCCCGGTAAATAATACAAGCTAAACATGCATGCAGCATTACATTGGATGTATTCAATCCAAATGTTTTCTTGTAAATGTATGTTTATTTGTAGTTAAGCCATAACAAAACATCAATCACTGCTTTCTCTCAAACCAACTATGATGTGAAGAATTACACTGTTTTCATTTTGCTTTGTCTCTTTGTTTTAGACCACTTCTGGGTCCTCTTCCCAGACGTACTCATGGTAATAACCTCAGAGGTCGCCGTGGATGTTGTCAAGCATGCCTTTATCACCAAATTCAATGACATCAGCGCTGACGTGAGTCTTTTAGTTTTACATTATGACTCATTTGTACACACATCTATCTAAAGATTTGACATACATTGGGAGAATCATTCAATTCGGGTCAAGTTTGCTTGGAGCAGGCTCATTGAGTAACAGAGGGCAGTAGTTTCTTGAGTGGAGTGACAGTTTCACAGGCAGTTTCTGGAGCAGTTAGTAAGAATGTCGCTAAGTTCATCAGAGGATGTCTTGATGTGTTGTTTTGTATAGTCTGTCAAGTATTGATGAAGCTTTCTTTTGCAGATATAAGGTATCCTCTGAAACTGGTCAGAAGGACTAATGAGATATTAACTAATGAGACGAATTGATTGCAGTTAATTCACTCTGATATTTCTTTTCCATTGTCAAGCTTTCCCCTCCTCTTTTAGCTTAGTTATATCTGTTTAAATCGTTTACACCAGGTGTTGGAGTCAAGGACAGCCAGTGTCCATTCAACTGTCACTAACAGTCAGACCTTGAATGCACTGAAGTTGTAATATAACAACCTGCAAAATCTTACATGTGATTAGTCCATTGATATTTTTCTATTACATGTATAATGCTTTGTTACCTCCTCCTAGTAGGTTATGTTTTCGGTTGTGTTTGTTTGACTGTAAGCAGGATTCCTTGAAAAGTTATGAACAGATTTTAAGTAAATTTTTACCAAAGGTGTCTCTCATGCCAAGTTACAATCCATTACATTTTGGTGATAATCCAGATCATAATACGGGTACAGGATATCATAAACGATTCTCAAACATTATTTGGCGGGACAAGCAATTCACCTCTAAACCATAGGGTGGCAGCAGTGACTATTGACATTCAGCAAGTGAACTCAAAAAGTATGCAAGTATTATACTGAAGACAAAAAAAAACAAAACCCGGTTGGAAAAGTAGGCCATGCTTTGCTCAAAGTCTCGCTCTGCTGATCAGAGAAGAAAGCAGAATGAGTGAAGAAGGTTAAAGCAGAACAGACACCAGAGGCTGCAGACTGGTTATGAAAGGATTTTAGGGAAATTTTTATTAGAAGTGCACCACATGCCAAAGCTCACTTAAGTTGAATTTGCTAATGATCCAGATCATAAGCAAGTTTTAGCTTTAGATCTAAGTCACAATATGGGGCCGAATTAGCTGTTTGGTGGAGGACTGCAGTCTCAGAGAGCTTTTCTAGTTTTGTACTTAATTTTATTGCTATGTTGGTAGATCGATAATGGTGTAGACATGCATGCATCACAACCATTAATTATACAAGTCCTCTTGATCGACTTTAGTACATGGGTTCGTTTTTTTGTGAATAGTCAATTTTTCTAATTCATAAAATTGCAGCACTGTGCTTAATTAATTAGTAATGTTTTCACTACCACTGCCACACTGTCGGTAGGCTAGTTTTATACAATAGTCTTAAACTGTTAGGAGTATTTTAAAAATAATCCTCTTTATTTGGTCTCATGGAAAATTTCACAAATTAATGATGTTAATGGTCTTTGGTATCCTGTGTCTTTGCTTCTATGTGTTTAGCTGTTTCTGCCACTGACTGAATTTATTCAATAGTTATTGGTTTAAAATGCGGATTTTATTAAGTGTCATGTAAAGTTTAAAGCAAATACTTTCCAAAAAAGTTACCACATTGTTTTTGCTAAGTTGGTTGGTTATTTTATTTGTATCTATGTTTTTGATATCCCTCCCAAAAATAGGAAAATGAGCTTTATGTAATCTGATTAAGAGAGGGGTAACATTCTGGGAGTACATTATTTTGATCCATATTTATAATTCTAAAAGTCCTGTTATGATATTTAAAGTGAAGTAGGGTAAGCTTTTATTTCATTTTCTCTCTTAAGTGACTTAACAAAGTTTTCTCAGTTGGTCACATTTAATCTTTTAATTTGTCAGATGTCACTAAAAAAGTATTATGATGCCCATTCAGTGCCCTGGTTTTGGTTTTAATCCTGCATACAAATAGTCCTACTCTTCAGTTATATATATACGCCTCACAGACAGGAATGTCACATAATCTTTTTGACTTTTGAGGATCAGGTTCATCAGCCATTAGGCATATATCATCAGGCATATATGCCAACATTGTGTGATGAAACAAGGAATTCTTAGGACTATAAAGATATAAACTTAAGGGGAACATAAAGGAAGGATTGATGGAACAGTTTGTATAACAGTGCGTATGACGTTTTCTGTGGACGGACCTATTCTACGTAATCCATCTTTTATACACACTCATTTTGTTTGGCTCAGGACTGTCCAATTCTTGTCCTCAAGGTGTTATATTTTATCTTTCCCAGCTGTAGCACCAATTTATATGACTACAAAATCGACCATTGACCTCTGGCAGAGGGTGTGCTGGTACCAAGTGGACTGATGGACACCTTTATGCTTGAACATGGTGTTCATTGTGGGCAATCCATGACTTAAACAGGTCTAACAAACATAGCTGGAGTTCAAAGCTGGGGATCAGTTCCTTCTGTGAAGTCCTCCAGTACAATGTGGGCTCTCTAGATTAGGAAGGTTTAGATTAGGACTAGGGAATCTTACAGACTTTTATATTAAGATATTTGACTAAAATCTACCAGTTAGTGTTTCAAATGAAAGTTTTGAAATGAAAATAATTTGTAGTAACCTTTTATTTTGTGATTTATTAGTGCAATGACATGGTTGTCTGTTCATACTTATTTAACTGTTAGAATTTTAACAGGTGGTGTTACCCAATGATGAAGTTGTTTCTTTAAAGTTTAACTCGCATAAGCTAAAAATGTTATAAAATGTATTTAATTACTGTGGTGAAACCTCAAAGGTGTTTTTTTTTTCAAACTCCCTCCCCCAAAAACTTGTTTTTGAAAGCAAAAATTTCCTATCAACCCTATCCATTTTTCATATCGCTCAGTCTCCCCCATAATTGAACTTTATTGATCTCAAATTGGAGAAATTTACCTCTGCATTTAACCCATCCCTTTGGGGAGGAGTGGGCTGCCATCGTGGAGCGACCAGGGAGCAGTGCGAGGTTAAGGGTCTTGTTCAGAGACCCAGACTGGCGGTCTGTGGGAGTGGGTTTCTAACTCAAAACTTCAGGATTCCAAACTCTAAACTCTAACTACTAAGGCCGCCACTCTCCAACAACCATGCCATTGTATTCATAATTACTTAAGAGAAACTGTCCCACAGGAAGGGATTAACTCGGCCACCACTGTCAAATCTAATCACACAACCCTCAGCCTTACAGTATAAGTGGTCTCCACTTTTACCATCTGCACACGTGCATTCTCTGTAACAAACATGATATCACTTGCTTTAGCTGTGAGTTTGTTTGTTGTTTTTTGATTTCTTGGTTTAAATGCAGTTTCCTTGTGTTTCAGGTATATGGAGAATACAGAGCCAGCCTGGCCTTCGACCTCGTCAGTAGTCGACAGAAAAATGTGAGTTAACCGACTTAAAGAACTTGAGGAAATACTATGTATCCTTCCTGTTTTACTGTAGTCGTGTAAAAGGGACATATTAGCATAACTCAGGATAATGGGTGAGTAAATGAACTGTTGAATTGGTGGTGGTGCAGAAAATCCTAAATAAAGAGAAACTGCAGAACTATGATTTTTGAAAATCAAACTTTTCTGCAGACTATTTACAAATCACAGATGTTTGGCTATATGGTGTAAAATGTGTATCTCTTTTATCACCCATTTTTTTTACTTAGAAAAGGGCAAACTAAGCAGTGCCAAATAAAAATCTGAAAAGTGCTTCAAAACATTTATATTCATAGCTGAGTTGTCTGATAGTCTTAAATAAATCCCTGTGCATCAAGTTAGCCTCTGAAGTTACCTGATTTTATAAATTAGTGTATAGCAGCATATAGTCAGTCAGAGGTGTATGAATGTGTCTGCAGGGCATTTCAGCATAAAGTTATACAACATTTCATTTCACCTTTATTTATGCCGGTTTTCTCATTGAGATCCAAGAGCTTATGTACAACATAGGCCTGTTTTGATAAAAAGAAAATTACAAACACAATAATAAATTATAAGGTTTGATTTAGCTCAAATAAGGTAACAGATCAATATATTTGTTATTACATTATGAATATTTGTTTTGAATGTTTTTGACCTGTAGTTTATAGATACAAAACTGTAATGTTCAAATTCTTGATTATAATAAACCAACAGCTCAAATGTTTTTATTCCACATATAATGTTTTTTTTATTGGGTGGCAGATTTGTTGTTTAGCTGTGTAGATGAAGTATTACATGTCATTAATGTTTCTGTTATGAAAATGTTGGCAGGCTTACACCGACTACAGCGACTCGGTGTCCAGAAGAATGGGCTTCATCCCACTTCCTTTAGCTTTGCTGGTCTGCCTCACTTTTTATATTTATATGCATATATATCTGCAGCTAAATTGTTTGCATTTTTTCAGTTGTTTTTATTTTTATTTTTTTAATTTCTTTTGTAGCTGGTTAGAGTCGTGACAAGCTCAGTGAAGATCCAGGGTTCACTTTCCTTCATGTGTGTGCTGCTGTTTTACTTGGGGTAATTAAACACAACATTCTTCCGCCTTATATGTTCAAATGTTTGTGTTTTATTTGACCTATCTTGTGTGTTTCTGTACAGGATGATCACTTTAAAGGTTCTCAACAGTATCGTTCTCCTGGGAACGTCTTGCATGTTTGTCAAAGAGGCCAAGATGGAAGAAAAACTATTCGACCCTCCTCCTTCGGTCTCCTCCAGCCGTGCAAACTCCAGAGCCAACCGCGCCAAAAATGCTCAAGCTACACCCCAACAAGGTCACTCATCTCCTCTCTTTCATAAACAGAACTCAAACTTACATTTGTTGACACTCATGGTAATTATGTAGGTTTAAAACACGGGAGCCTGAGTGCTGACTAGTGCTCTCTTCTCTTACCTGAGTTCTCCCAGAGGCTTGAGAGAGGAAATTGACCCACAGCCTCATACATGCTCAACCATACTTAGAAGTGCATGTTTTACTTTTCTAGTTTGTTTTATATCTTTACACCTAGAGAGTTAGATCCCTGTAAAGTAGGGCTGGGCAATTAATTGCATCTGCAATTTAACAAAATGCAGTTTTCAAATCGCAGAGGCGGTTCATTATGGTCACTTTAGATTTAACAAGAGTAAGACACAAAATGTCCTACTCCAGCTCTTTAGGTGGTGATCATGCACTTTAAATAAGTTTGCCGCAACACAAAAGGGAAGAGAGAGTTTCTGCTAGCAAACAGATCCATGCATGTTAGTAGGAGTTAGAAGTTTGCAGTAAAGTCATGCAACAGATTACTATGGATGAGCATGTTAAAAAAAAAAAAAAGTTAAAAACCATAGAGTCAAACGACTACATTCTTGATTTTAATTAAATATTGCAATATTGGTCGTAAATCATTGCTATTTAGACTTTTTGGCAAAATTATTTAGCCTGCTGTATAGGTCAATCTTAGTCTAGTTGAAAAAAACATTCCCAGACAGGTTCCTTCTGCATTGCTTTGGTATTTATTATATTAACTAGAACATTCAGATAAAAATTTCTTATTTATTTATTTTTGGTGGTTATTATCATTATTGCAGTTACTTTCTTGTTTCTTTTTTCTTTTCTCTCCTTTCCTTTTTCTCTGCATTCCTAACGTTTTATTATTACTCAAAAGCTACATGCTTTATTTCCCCGTCTCTCCTCCGTTCCTTTATATTAATGTAGCTTAACATGTAATTAATTTTGTAAATTCACATCTCATCGCAGCTTTAGAGCTCTTCCTCCTCCCCTGCAATAAATCCTTGAAAAAACATTCAGTTTTTTATTCTAGTGTTTGTAAAGCTTACCACTAATCAGCTTTTTTGTAAAGAGCGTTGAAATGATATGCACTATGAAACCGAATTGAACTAAAGATATAACAATAATAATGTTAATAATGTTTCAATGTTTTCTTTCTTGTTTAAATATATTTTAAAATTCAAGGGTTTGTTAGTGGGAGATTAATCTAAATCTCAAGCTAACTAACCCATAAAACCAAAAAGTAATTTCAAGGTTTTTCACACATCTTTAATTAAATGTTTACAAATTTGTCTGCCTGTAATAATGGTTACCAAAGAATTTCACTTGTTCACAATCTCTCAATGTGTTTTCTTCCACAGAGATTACGTCAGACAAAGCAGGAGTATCACCGGCATCAGGCATTTCTCTACTCACAGATAAACCAGAGAGCGCCTCCTCCACAATCCTAAAGAGTGACTCAGACACATTCCTGACAACACCGGATGAGGACGAAGAAGACAAAGTCATCAACACTGACACAGGACTGGAGGAAGATGGGCTTAAACTCAGAACACCCAAGAAAGACTTATTGGAGATAGACCGATTCACCATCTGTGGGAACCGGATAGACTGAACGCTGAAGCTTCCACCAGCTGGTGTCCTGACTACCACAACAAGGTCCGGGGACTGGATGAGGGTCGTGGAGCCCGCTCAGACCCGACTCGCACTTATGCACCTGACTCTTGGAGTATTTATTTATTTATTATTGGTAAACCAGCCAAGGCATAATGCTGTTATATCAGAGGCCATATCAGATGGTCCTGCAGGAGTTGGTTTGTCCATGCGGACTCGGAACGAGGGAACAAGAGGAAACATGAGTGATAGCAAGCAAACAAGGAGTAAAACTGCTGATAGGAAATCAAATGGAGGATGGAACACTACAGCTGGACTGTGTGGTGTGTGAGTGTGTGTGTGTTAAAAAGCACAATTCTTGCCAGAGCAAAGAGGTGTTTTTAAACAACAGTCGTCAGATGTCTACTTTTTATTTAACAAAAATCGAACAAATTCAACCCTTTAAAGGACATTTTTATTGCAGAGGTTGGGTGTATTTTCTAAAATTGAATTGTTCGACTACACATAAATACATTTGGGCCAAGAGACGTTAAAAAGGTGCGAGGAACAAAAGCATCCGTGAACATATTTTTTTTTTTTTTTTGAGTGTTCTCTCTTTATATCACTGTGTGAATGTGTTTGTATTTATTTTCAGTTTTCAAACTCTGCCTAATTTGTACATAAAGCTGTCAGAAACTATAGCTGCAGCTCATAAGCTTTAAGCATTTATTTTTTTGTGGGTATTGTGATCCACCATTGAAATTGAAGAAGTGGTGAGAAAGTAGAGTCTGGTATGCAGATAAAAATAGTGAAATTGTTTATGTTTACGCTGGTGTGCGCTCAGCAGATTTAACCTGCCGCTGAGTTAAATTGATGCCCGCATTGCTCGCCGGCTGCAATTAATGAAGACGATGTGTCCTGTTGCACTAGGTGTTTGTGCTCTGGTGACCCAAATCGTTGTGAAATCTGCTGTTAATCAGTTGATAATACAAAATCACTGCAGGCTTTTTGGTTTCCTCGCCTGCATTATTATCTTTTTCTACTTTGAACAAAAAGACAAGATCGTAGCGTTTTATCTCTCAGACCAAAACTTATCATATCACGTCACAAATATTGCATCAAGGTTTTTTTCTTAGTAAATAAAAAAAAAAATCCTCTTATCTTACATTACCTTGCAAAACTTTGACTTAAATTTGGAGCAATCAGATACAAGTTGGTGCGAAAAAGGATAAGACTGCAAAGTTTTAACGTGTTGTATTCTAGAATGAGTGAAAAGTGTGGCTTTCATTTGTATTTAGCCCCAAATGCCTAAAAGATTTTTAGAACTAGATTTTTCTTTATTTGGTTTTTCTTTAACTTTTTTTTAAACTACTTTTAAGGTAAGTCTCTACCCGCTAAGCACATTTCTACAATTACCTTTTGGACTATTCCTAATAATAAATTGGCTTAATTTTATTCCAACTAGATTAAGAAACTCTGGGAGTATCAGTTTTCTAGTGCTGCCATATTTCACAGTTGGATTTGGGTTTGGACTTGGCCTTTTTAATGCATGTCTAAGCTTTGATCTAATCTATTTTTTTTTTTTCATCTTTGACCAGCTTCACTGCTTCTTCTGAAGAAGCCGTCTCACACAGAATTATGCGGCGGGAGCATTATGCTCCCATCATGAATGCTTTGTTTACCCAGCCTGTCAGTTTAGATCAGCCTTTACTTTTTAGTTTGCAATTGTTCCTAGTTTTGTGCAATAGTTACCAAACAGCGGCATTTATCCCAATATTAAATACGGCTGGTATAATTGGGTGATTTCTAAAGGCAGTTTTATGAATACAAATGCACACCGCACTTTTCAGATTTTTCTTTTTAAAGTTATTTGAGTATCATTCAATTGTAAGATTGTGAGAATTATAATTTTTTTATGTTATTATTTTGTTATGTATGTACCACTATTATGTTTTTAAGGTGGAAGCAAAGGATTTTGGAGCCACTAAAGTAGAAGCAAAGAGGAAATAATTGGGCTTTACTCCAAATCAACACAGGCAAAAACAGCGGGGATAGAAGGAGCATCCCTGTTAAAGAAGCCGAATGATTCTACATATGTTATAAAAATGGGACTGGCCATCACTAGTGTGTTTCTTAATGTATGAAACCATCATCCTGAGGATTTTTTTTTTTATGTGCATCTCCTTTTATGTTAGGAGAATAAACAGACTTTGTTTTGCAACCCTGTGTTGTATGATGTGAATGAGTGAAAGCAAGGGAACAGGGTGGGTGTTTCACTGAAAAACGTCACTGCGCTCTCTGTTAAGAGTGGGAACACTGCAGCCCACTGTTTCACCAGTACAGACTCTGAAGGGGTCTCAGTCATCACTTAGTTACACTCGCGAGAGCTTTTCTTCCTGGAAACATCTAGTTCTAGAACATCATATTAATGACCTTTAACTGGGGAAGTTACAGGCCCAGTTCTATGTTAGAAGAAATGTGTCCCAACACTGCATTGTGATGCAGCCCATACTGGTAAAATGTCTGGGATTTCCCTCTTTTGAACCTGAGCTTCATGCGTTTCTCAACCTTTCATATGCTTAGAGGCCAGCAGGTTACAGGGACTGAACATTTTCTTGTTCAGTTAAATTTACAGAACAGCTCTCTGCAAAGAAATAATGAAGAAATAAGGTTTATAGCAAATCTCAGCGACAAGGCAATTTAAAAAGCTTTGCTTAAAAAAAAAAATCATTGAAGTACACAGCAAATGAATACCATACCATCCCTTGTGATATTTTATCCCTGAATGTGTAAAATGTCTACTATATATTAACCATAATGGCAGTAATATTGCCGTTTGAATATTTGGCAGGCTATGGGTTTACTAGCAGAGGCGTAGCCAGAAAATCCTAATAGGGGTGGCCAGTCATTAACCAATGAACATTGAGTGGTGGTCGACAGGCACCAGAACCTCAGGGTCAATCTACACTGGTCCAACAGGAACAAGCACAAAATCCATATTTTCTAAATAAAGACAAACTATACTTTCCTACAGCCTTTGATAACAAATAGACGCATATATTTGAACATTACGCTGTGTAAATAAAATGTTTATTGGACAAAATTCTTTAAGGTTTGGGTTCTGGGACCAACATATTTCAATTGTCATTACCTGCTTTTATCAATAATCATTTTGCAAAAAAAAAAAAAAAAAAGATATATAAATCTACTAATATCCACATTTAATGAATTTTTATGTTATTATTAAAGTAGTTTTTTTTTAATCTATGATTTCACTGAAGATTCCTAGATGACTTGCAGAGCCAGGTAATTTTATCTTTACCCCAAATAATTCAAAATTTAGTTCATAAAAGAGCATGAATTCTGTATCTATCATCTTTAATGTTTGTATATTGATGTACATAATCAACTGCAGTGTTTCTGTTGTCAATCAGTTGTTAATATATGAAAAATGTAAATATTTAATAAGTTTGAACATTCCCCTTCAGAGTATTACTGCTACCACCATCTGTATTAGAGGCCAACCCTGGCCCCCCATCTAGGTCTGCCCCTGCTTACTAGTAGCCTGAGCAAAATAAATAAAAACAAGAAGTGGCCTGCCATAACTATGAAGCTGATTATAGTGGGAAATTTGTCCTCTGCATAAGTCCCTAACCATGTAGGGGCAGTGATAGCCATGCCGGTCCAGGGACAAAAAGCAAATCTACGCGAAAATCCCATGTTCAAGGTCAGTGATCAGCATACCTGACATGTAACAACCATACCATGCATATTTCTTTAGGTTAATAGACTATATTCATTAGGCTATGTGTGCTACAATAATAATNTGTAACAACCATACCATGCATATTTCTTTAGGTTAATAGACTATATTAATTAGGCTATGTGTGCTACAACAACAATAATAATAATAATAATAATAATAATAATAATAATAATAATAATAATAATAATAATAATAATAATAATAATAATAATAGTTAAATAAATAAAAAAATCTTTTTTTTTTTTTTACAACTAGACCACTGGATATAACACACGTTTCACTTAAGTTAGCCGTAAGTTTGCTTTTTATTTTCTCAATTTTATGTTGAATTCGTCTGATAACCTGAAAAATGTGACTAAAAAACCCAATCGGGGGAATCTGTGGAGCGAGGGAGCAGCTCACAGCACTATTAGTTTACATGAACAGGTGGTGGCTGAGGGTCACGCGCCGCAGATGCGCGGTAGAGTTTTCTGGCGAGCACGAGCGCAGTTGAGCCCTCTTCTCCGTGCACGTGAGATTAGGCTGCTCTTAGCTCTCTGTCCGGTGAACCCGAGGACACCGGCAAAGTGAGAGTCCCACACACTGCGGCAGGTGTTCGGGGAAGGATGTCAGGGATGAGTCCGTGGAGGAGAACCAGAAGCTAACGGCTGCTGGATGTTTGAAGGTGTTTCTGGTCCTGCTGGAGGAACAGGTGTCAGCTGCTTTCTCCATCCCGACTGGATCCACGCGCGCTTTACTCTGGTCTGCTGGTGCTTTTTTTAAAGTTATTATTACCACTGAGCCATGTTCTGGACACAGTGGCTCGTCCTGCTGCTTTGGTGGGGGGCTACCTGTGCGGAGCAGCATGCCGAGGAAAGGGACGGCCAACGGGATGGGGTCAGGTCGGACCCCCGCAGGCAGCGGTCCCCTCCGCCGGTGGAACCGCTGGACTTTGGGTTTGTTCCCGCAGCGGTTTATGACACCCACGCATACTACGAGCCGGGGACCATAGGAATCCTTTTTCACATGGTCCACGCGTTTCTTTATGTGGTTCAACCAAACTCTTTCCCTAAAGGTGAGATTAAATTATTAGCACCCCATCTGCTCATCCCTTCCCTTTATAGTCCCGAATTTTATTCTCTCCAGATTATGCTTTAATTTTATGGAAACACACCTACTCTGTTTTACTTATCTAAATATATTACTATATATAATGGTTTATTTTGTATAATGCAGATCATTTGTCCTGTATATTTTCAGTAGGCCTACATTCTGTCTCAGGTTTAATCTTTCACCTTAAACCTTTTAATTTGAATTACCAATATAGTCTCAGATTGTGTTGGAATTATATACATTCTTATTTAGATCTAACTGATTAATTAACTAATAAATGCAACTTGCCGTTTCCAGTAAAGTAAGAAGCAACTGAATTAGAAAGAACAGATTGTACAGAGTGCAAAAAGCGCCAAATAATTCTGTTATAAAATAATATTTATGTCAGATTTCCTTTAAAAATGATGTCATTAAAAAGACTGATTCTAAAATGATTTTCATTTGTAAAATATTTTCAGGAAAAAAGTAAATTTGTTTGGACTGCCACAAGTTCCACATATTTAAAAAAAATACTGATTTATTGAGTAGTTACATCACATATATATTATCCAAAGTAATATATTGCAGTTCATTAAAACACTGATAAAATGTTAATTATTTATTGCAGCGTAATTCACTGAGAACACATTGAAAAATGAATTAGAGTCAGAGTAATGTTTTCTAGCTTTTGCTTGCAATAAGTAAGTAAAGGTTTTTGGTTTGGTCCTTTTCACAAACAAAAGTTTCACCAAGGGCTGTATAAAAAAAAGAGGGGGAAAAAACAACACAATAGAATAATGATGTTAAAATTCAGTGCTTTAATTGGCAGTTTACAGCCCAAGCAAACAGAAACCATCTAAATATTTCCCGTAGTTTACTATACCATAAAAATAGCTGTCTCTGTGGTACTTCAAATATATATATTTAACACCTGACTGGTTTGTAAAGTCAAGCAAACCCAAAACCATGAAACACTGATAGTAAAAAAGAAAACAAAAAACAAGCATATCTAATTTCATACCGTATGGAATTATTTATATACTAGATTGATTTATTTGTGGTGGTTCTTAATTTTAGCTATAGAGTCACATTGAGGGTTTATTTTAAGGTTATTTATTTATTTACATATTTAAATTGTTGCTTTTTTGGACCTCCAAGCTTAGGGAAGACTATGGATTAAAAACTTTTAAAACTTCTCAAAGTTTTGTTTGCCACACTTATGTTCAAAAGAGTTTTTCTTTATTTCTGCTATGGTAATATTGGTAATATGATTCGTTGTATATTATAGCCCAGACGTTTTGATAACCATAAATAACCATATATGAGATCCAAAGCAATACAATTAGAAAACCATTATTTATGACATGTTGTGTATGTGATTTTTTATATTTGGTCATTGTTACAATCATTTAAAGGATAATTCTGTTAGTTCAGTTTAACTGCTTAAAGCTTATTGCACAACTAAAATAATCAGCGCTGAGGATCAGCTTGTAGGTTTTGCTGGATCAAAAAGGGTAAATAGAACTGGTTAAACACATGACCAAGCTCACCCTTTAGCATAACTAAATTGCAAAGGCCTTTTACGTCATAAATTAAATAGCAAAGTCCAAAAACTACCAGAATAATCAAACAAACTGTCTTTTGGCCCAGATCTCCCTCTGATACTGGTCGATCAGTTTAACTGAATTTCACATGAGGTAGAATCCTGAGGGATTTTTTTTTAGAACTTTTTATTTCAATTCTTTTATAGAACAATACAAAAAGAACATTATTATCTGAGACAAGTGAAAACAATAATAATAATAATATTGAAGATATTTTGTCCATATATCTCGCTGTAGATAATATAAATGTTCTCCACATCTCAGCAAACATGATACAATTGGTACAATAATATACAACAATATAGTGATGTGAAATATATGTATATTAAAAAAAACACCCACAAATGTTAAAGCAGGTTTCCATAGTAATATAATTTTTTTCTTCCCTCTTCTTTCTTCATTATAAACCCTGTAATTTATAGATCTAAATATTCTTTAACTATGCGCTATCTCTGATTAAAAGGTCAGTTTTCAGCTGTAATGAAGCAGTCATTTTTTTCCCCATCAAATAAATCTGTTTTAGTCTCTGTTCCCATTCAATTACAGTTGGGGATTTCACCTTCTTCCAATTAACAGTAATGTTTTTTTGGCAATTAGTAGTAATACTCGTAGGATATTATACTGAGGGATTTTGTCGTTGTGTGTTCTTGGTCCAAAAAACAAACATTATGCACAGCTTAATCGGATCAATATCTGTCGTAGATAATAAGTGATTTTTTTCCCCTGGCCAGTTAAATTGTTTGACATTAGGTTTAGGTGCTTATAGCTTTATGCTCCACTGTGGTGCGGTGAACAATAATCACAGTTTGTTTTTTGGGCACAACCACGACTCATCACGTTGGAGGATGGCACAGAGAAATTGGATTGAAGGTTTTAAGTTGCTGCCATTTTGGTGTCCAGAGTTATAGATGCTGGCTTGGTAAGCAATTAGCAAAATCAGTGCTTAGGGGAGGCTTTCTCTGTCACTTGCCTCACTACATAATACCTTAATCCACTGGGCCATATGCTGCCACTGCTTTGGACTTTCCAGTGTGACTCACCGTCCCTTTCAAGCACAGGTAGAGAGACTGCCTGGGAGGGGGGCGTGAGCACCCACATCACATATCAGCAGCATGCAAAGTCATGCCGAATGCACACAGACGGACTTTAAGGTGTTTGGAGCTGCTTAAGGAGAGAAGCAGATCAGTCTCACCTGTTTGCTACCTGAGTTGCCAGCCCATTTGAGCCATTAACAAGTAAACAAGCTCATCTCTCTCTGAAGCAGAGAATATATCAGTAGCTTCAACCTAAAAAAAACAATTTGTTCCTCAGGGGAAAAATGATGGGTACCATCCTTAAAAAAAGCTTCTTTGAAGATTGCTGTGATTTTTAAAAGAATTGAATCTTTCCAGACTACATGGTGAAGCAATGGGTAGCGCTGTTGCCTTGCAGCAAGAAGGTTCTGGCTCTAATTCCTGCCCCAGGGTCTTTGCACGAAGTTTGTGTGTCCTCCCTGTAGATGCATGGGTTCTGCCGGAGATATACACCGCCCGCACCGTGACTCTGACAGGACTAAGTGGGAGAAGATGGAGGAAATCTTTCCATCACTAAGTTCTTATTACAAATTTTTATAATATCAAACAGATTCAATATGTTCTAATTGAGGATATAGATACAAACAAATAAAGTTCAATAGTCAGTCACATTCAGAGAAACAGGACTACTCTAAAAAATTTGACGATCTCAAACATCTGTAAACAAAGGTGTTGATGGCAGCAGCACAGCTGATATTTCACTCCAGGATGGCGTCACAGCCAAACAGGAACCAATCAGATGAAGCTACTGTGAGAAAAAGCAGAGAGCACATTGTTGAGATTGAACTAACAAGTTCTGCTGAGTGGGAGAATAGATAGAATGAAGCAGAAAGACGGAAAAAGGGACCCCTATGTCCTCCAACACTCTAAGCCTATATCAGCATAACTATAGAGATAGCTCAGGATAACCTGAGCCACCCTAACTATAAGCTTTATCAAAAAGGAAAGTTTTAAGCCTAGCCTTAAAAGTAGACAGGGTGTCTGCCTCACGGACTAAAACTTGGGATGCACGATATTGGGATTTTGGCCGATATCCGATATGCTGATATTTTAAAACTTATGTGGCCGATAACCGATATCGATACTGTTAAAGCTGGACAAAAATAAGTAGACATTGAAAATAGCAGTTTTGTTATCCAT